ATATATACATACATATNNATGTATATATGTATATATATATATATATATATGTATATTACGTCAACCGTTTCATTTGATTTTATCAATGTCTCTATTATTGTAAATATATATATACACATATATATGTATATATATGTATGTATCGAGTGTATGTTTATGTACGTATATGTGTGTATGTATATATATATATATATATATGTTTATGTGTCTATGTGTGTGTACTTATATGTGTGTATGGATGTGTATATATATATATATGTATATATATATATATACATATATATATAATATACATACACATTGGGTGGTGATGTACGTTTACTGTATGCACGTAATGTGTATTATGAACATTATTTGTGTGGGGAGGGTGATGATGTTTATGATTTATTTAAACTCTAAATTGTATTTTCTTTAGTTAAGTTCTTTCATTTGTTTAGCTTTAAGTTGTTGTTTTCCTCTTTGTTCATTAGTTTGACTGCGCCACTTTCTTGTGTGCTGCCACTGTTGTAAAAGTGTAATGTCAAATAAATATAATTATTATTTTATATCAACAAATAATAGAAAAGTTATTCGACAATCATTAATTAATTTAAGGCTAATGTCACCATATTCAATATTGGCTTCTAGACATCTACAAAATTGTTATATTCAATACAATCATGATCTGAACACAAAACTTATTGGCATACTTTTTAAAGATTGTAGACCACAACAAGAAACTTTAATTCCTACTCTGTTTGATGTGTATGCCTATTGTACTATGAACATTTCCAAAAAGACTACAATTACATACCTTCAAATACAAATATATTTATATCTTATTCTTATCACTCTGGCTGAGATTATATTGGATTATTACTATGAATATATTCTCTTTATTTACTACAACAATTTTTCTGGTTTCTAGGCTGCCGCCTCTGGATGAAGAATTTGGTATAACACCGGGCAAGGTTTTGCAGCCTCACCATGAGAGTTTTAAACATTTTTTTCTTTTTCGTTTGTTTCTCTAAAGCTAAATCATCATCGAATGGAAATCAGTTTGGTTATCATTGTACTTCTTTCTTTGACAAATAGAATGAAATCTAGAAAAGTAAATATAACGCTCAATATCTGCAAGCGTATCCTCACAACATGCTTTCAAATTGTCTGTTAAAATGTTTTTAGTCCTTTCCTGGTGTCAGGGACTATAAATATTTGCGTTCGGGGAAAATCATAACGTCAACTCTCTTGGGTCAACTGACGTCCTACCTCAAACATGACTGTGGCCTCTTTTCAGCTTAATTTCGGTCCACATACTATTGTTTGACCAACTTGTTTCTTTTTTCTTAATTTCAATTGATGTACGTAATTTCGGTATCAGTGCATAGACCTATATTTATTATAAATGTTACGAGAGAAAAGAATGAAGCAAAATGCCATGGAGAATGAAAAAAATGTATAGAGTGTTGGAAGAAAATAATAAAATAGTGTAGATTTTATGCCGTATCCATCTAAGGGTGTGCTCACTTTGCTCAGGGCGCTTGATTAATTCATTTCATTTACACCATCTTTCAATCACAAAACAGAAAACAATTATTGTAAGCAACAATTATTTTAGAAGTACGGGATCAAGAAGTGAGCCAAATATCGAGAGATTCTCCAGCCATTAAAACCAAATATCAAATACAAACAAATGTGTACACGAATTTAAAATTACATTCCATTCATGGGGTCATTGCTGGGATTGTTTTCTTTTCGATTGAATTAACATATTATACAACAGATGAAGACTATATTTCTCACCCATTTTTAGTGTCGCGTAATATTAATTCAGTAAAATACTGCTTTAATTTAAAAGAAGGTATAGCGAATGGTGACGACATAATCACAAATCTAGACAAATTTACTAAATAATTAGTTTATTTGTTTGCCACATAATAGCTAGTAGCGTAAGCAATTATTCACTGATACGAATATGTAATATTTCGGGAAATAATTTGCCGAATATAACTGAGAAGAATGCTAACATATTAAAGAAATAAGATTTCATTTTTTCAAACAAATTTGAACGATCATATAAATTTATGCTTATAACCAATCCAATGGCCTAATTAATACAGTAATAGGCCTATACCATATAAACATTCGACATGTGCATCATTGTGGTCTAGTGGCCAGGCTATGTTGTGACATACTGTGTAGCATATTGCATTAAAACAGAAATAATAATCAATATTAACAATAGAAATGCATTAAAAAAGAAATGGAAAAACACTGTTTGCTCTCTTATAGTGAAACTACGAAACACTATAAAAAACAAAGGATTATTGTACACTATTCATTATTATTACTAAATACTGCATAATAACATTTTCGGAAATGTAACAGCAAAACATAATGTAAATAATACATGAGTATGGTGACTCCGAAAAATGACAGACATGAGGAACAGAATGATATAAGAAATGACAACAGCACTTTTAAGACTAACTTGATTTTAAAATGTATTCTCCAGCTTTTGTCCACAAGTGGACTTCATCAGGAGATTGTGCAAATTGGATGTGTCCTGATTAAGTCCACAGATTAATGTGTGAAGAATAATACATTCTATACAAATTAGTGTTAAAAAAAAAGTACTGTTGTCATTTCTTACGTTGTTCTATAGAAGACCATCGCGGCTACACTTTTTATTCATGATAAAATAAGAAATTTGCAATCCTGGGGGTGGCCCCCGGGGGGGGAGATGAATGGGTGAGTCAGTGGAGGGTAAGAAAATAGAAACATGAAGAAAAGATAATGATAATAAGACGATGTATGGAAAATATAGATAAATTAGATAGAAAAATGATAATTACAGAAAGACAAATGGTTAAAAAAGAAATGAGAGGTAAGGATTTCCACTGCAAGTGTAACACACCTCATTGAATGAGTGCTATTACCAATACTTTAAAAATTCAATGACAAAATACTAAATAGTTTGAAGCAAAAATAAGCAAACAAAATATATTCCAGAATGTTGAATATATTCCTTAAGTACCTAGTTACAAGCTCTATAATTTAGGCCTAAAGTGGTGTGCCAAGAAAACAGGATTGCAAGCGTGGAATATGGAGTAAGCTTCTCTAATCTGAATAAATACATCAATACACTGATAAGGGTAACAAATACTTTATAACACTTTAAAAATGCCAAAATAAGTTTGTATACAAAATATTATGATCGATGCATATACTGTATATATTTGGGCGATCCAATTTTTTTCTTTAGTTTACTTTCCAAAAGGGGGAGGCCCACCCCCCTAAATAACCCCCTGCTTTAACATGTTAAGGGTGGTGGTAAAACCGGACGTCGACGACCTTCACCCCCTATGGATCCGCCCATAAAATAATCATTTTTTAAAGCTCAGTCGGCCAAATGCTGCACGTATTACCATAACAGAATATTCTAAAGCAAATATTAAATACGGTTTAGTCTCTAACTGTAATTTTAGAAAGACGTTTGCAAATTATTATATTTTAAATATAGCCAATAATAATTGTGGTTATAAAGTCAAAGCAGGTAAGATACTATGCCTACTGGTAAACATATGGTAACTAGATTATACAATACATGCTAAAATGTTGTGAATGATGTAGTCTATAATAGACTTCCTTTTATTTATTTATTCAAGAATATTTCACATATTGACTTATTTTAGTGATTAACATGGTCAATATATTTTATTCCATTATATTTCGTAAAAATACACGAGATTGTGTCAGTCGCACTCACTAAAGTGCCACTTACCTACTACATACTCTGCTGCTTTTACTGTAGTACAAACGGAATTTGAATAATGACTTCTCACACGTGTTGCTTTTGTAGCGTGACAAGACCTCGTCCAATATTTATTATTAATGATACTTTAATAGACATGCATATAAACTCAAAATATGCCAATAATGGTAAGACATTTGCTACGATATATTTCTTCCAGAGCTGTGCACGCGTCTGGACGGTAAATCGGCACAAACATTTTGTCCTTACTCAAAATAGTACATGATTATATAAACGTCGAAGTTCGATATATGGGATTCATTACATTCAAACGTTTGTCTAGTTTAAAATTATAAACGGTTACAAAGGTTGTTAAAAAAGTATATTAAGGTGTTGTCTAACTATGTGCTATGTCAACTTCATCATATGCTACCTTTTCTAAGCATAGTGTTTTAAATATAATAATAATATATACGAATCTACGTGAGTTATGTATGACTTAAGCCCTATCCAGACTATCAAATGTTATTTTTAAAAACACATGTGACATGTCTAAATAAGGTCTGATGACATCATTATCATCACCAAATAGGCACATCATGACTTTACGTAGACATCCTACATTTATTTATTTATTTATTAAGGTATAACACACACAACAAAACAACAGCCAAAGGCTGAAAACGTTTTAAACAAATAAAGACAACATAGGAAAACAGGTCAGGTGGAAAAATACATATCGAAATATCAAAACATTCAAATAATTACATTAGAAAAGTTAAAAATTAATATCATATTACAAAACATATAAATATAAAAATATACACCATATTATTATAATTGAATTTCAAAAACGTCAATTAATTCAAAAATACATATCGAAATATCAAACCATTCAAATAATTACATTAGAAAAGTTAAAAATTAATTTCATATTACAAAATATATATATATAAATATATACACCAAATTACTATAATTAGGCCTAAATTTAAAAAAAAAAAAAACATCAATTAATTCAAAATTTTAAATACATTATTATGATACAGGATTAAAATCAACCCAAACAGCATCCACTGGACAAAGAAATTAAACTTAATTATTTGCATTGATCAAATTAACAATAGTAGGTATGGCAGACCTTCTGTATCTTTCAGTTTTACATCTGGGGACATCAAGAGTACTAGTTGTATTAGACCTAGGGGTTCTCTTCTGCCCGCGGCAAGGAGGCAACATGTCACGAAAGCAGTCAGACTTAAGCAAACCCCTGCCAAAAGACAAAACAAGGGTTTCTCTCCTTGCCGCAAGAAGTGATGGTAAATCCGTACCTCTAGGGCATTGTCATAAGTAATGTAGGCAGCACCTAACATTATGCGACATGCTCTTTTCTGGATGGTGTCAATGCTATTGGCCATTTTATTGGTAATAGCACCATGCCATACTTGGCAAGCGTATTCCAAGATGGGCCTAATGTAGGAAGCATAAACAGTGAGTAGGTCATCAAGAACAACGTTTGCTTTCTTTAGTATACACAGAACAAACAGTTTTCTTGATGCCAGTGAGACAATATCTTGGGTGTTAAGGTCCCACTTCAAATTACATTGGATTATGACACCAAGCAATTTCATATGCTCCACTACATCAATGTTTGTGCTATTTAAATTGAAAATGGGGGAATCTACATTAACACTGACTTCTTTCAAAAAATTTACAGTCATTATATGACACTTAGAAGGCTTTGGAGTCATGTTGTTCTCATTGCACCAATCATTAAGCATCTCCTGCATTGAAGGTCTTGCTCCTTTATTAGCAACCTCTCCCAGGTTGAGGTCGTCTACGTATTTCCACCTTCTGCAGCTTCCGACATATGCATCATTAATGAGCACCAAGAATAACACAGGGCCTAGCTTTGTCCCTTGCGGGACGCAACAAGTAACCTTACTAGAAGTACAGATATACATCCAGTATGCTCGGTATTCATGGTACGATCGGTGAGGAAGCTGCAGATGGTAGGAATTATAGACGACCTCACCCCGATGTCGATTAACTTCTTAAAGAATGGAATGGTCTACAAGGTCAAAGGCCTTAGTAAAATCAATTGCACACAGATTAACATAGGTTCTAGACTGGGTTCCAGTCCCTAATCTTTGTCTTAATCAGTTGAAATGCTTAAGAATAAATCGATTTTGGCACAAATGGCGTTCCATAATACTTATTTGCATGGCGTTCCATAGTATACTTTTTCTGGGATTAATTCTCATCAAAAAAGTTTCTCAACATAAACTGACGCTGGTGGCGCTTTCCGAAATGCGCTAATGTACTACGAAAAATCCATAAATTAGAGACTTGTGGCAAGTCTACATAGGTTCCACCACACTCAAGATCTTTAAGGACTGTGTCAATTAGGCTTATAAGGTAATGGAATGTCGATGATTTCTTCCTACTTCCAAATTGTTTAGAATCTAAACTAACATTAATATCCTCCACAATCCATTTAACTAAAAAAGATTCAGAGACTCTAGCAAGTATAAGTGTGAGGGATATTGGTCTAAGGTCATTATATGATTTGACACTCTTAACTTTAGAAACTGGAATGGCCTTTTTCCAGAAGCTAGGGAATATACCTGCTTTAAGGGCACAATTAAAAAGCTAACTTGCCAAGCAAAGCTTTCACTTGCCCGACAAATATATGTGGAGGATCCTCACTTGCTGGCAAATAGGCAGGCAAAGTTTTAATATCTAAAGTGTTAATGTTCTCCGCAATATCTTTGCCGGAGTGCCCAGGTATACTAAAGGTCGCCTGTTTTTTCATGTTACAGAGCTGTTTCATTCCCTTATGCAATTTTGCCATATTGTTAGACTTTAGATTCATTAGGGAAGTGCGATAATAAGATTGCTTGGCTTCTCTGATACATATTTTGTAAAAAAAAAAAAATCATAATCTGGACAGAGCTTAAAACAATTCTTGGATTCGTGGCTGTGTAATCATCAGTGATAAATTTTGCTGGGATTATAATGACCCTTGCACAGGTAACAAGCATTTACTCCAACTAGCTACTGCTCTCTCTACTCTTATTTCTTTCTCGGCATCGCATTAACATAAGCTGTTTCTTCTTCTCTATGTTGTAGATCTTGGTAAATTCGGTTTTCATTGCCAGCTGGTACGTAGTCCATGTAAGTCTGTGTCGAGATATAAAACGTAATAATATATCAAGGCAATTTAGTTCATTGCTATTTGTTGGTAAATTGATATTTGGTAATACTGTAGTGTGAATTAAAAGGAAAAAAATACAATGAGGGAGTTTCAAATTCCTTTAGAACAGATAAATATTATGTGCAATAATTTATTATCAATGTCTCAAAAATCACAAAGAATTAGGATAAATACCTATTTGCAATACTTTATTATCACTCTGTATAAAACAATACATTTTTAATAATTTAAAGTTTACAATAATTTTTATTAATCCGTAGAATAGAGCTGCCATTTGGCCTGCTTCAATGGTGGAGCTTGTTTGTCCTACATAGCAGCGCGATAGCATGCTACTGATTGTAGAAAGGAGGGCCAGTGAAAACAAACTACACCTAGTCCGGGCCCTAACAGAAACGTGTTATTACCTCAATGCACAATACCTCAGTTTAAGTTTTTAAGTATTTATTGTTTTCTAACAAATGCAGGACAAAATGAAAGTATTTCCATAAATTCTAGCCCCGAAACCTAGACTCAGAAATACCGGGATGGTGTCCGGCGGGGGATAGTTTAACTATTAGTTAAGTGTTTCTTGCTTGTGCTTTGTGTCGTACTGCTACAAACACATTGTTACCACAGTGTACAATACCGCAGTTCAATTGTGTATGCAATATATTAAAATAATATAGATACTTCATTTACAATCAATCCATAATCCATATGGTGGACACATTTGTTGTAATAGTAGAAGAAGCAATGTAAAATTCAAAACTGGTACCACGTTATTGACTAACTATAGTATAATGCTGTTACATCTGTAACCCAGAAGAGACTGCTGTCAAAAGTTAATACATTTTATAATGCTAGTCCATAAAGTGCTACCAGGTTCTAATCCTATGATTACATATTTTTTAACAATCTGATTGAAATACACCTTGACGCTGTACCATTTATCATGTATAGACAATTCATGTTCTGTAGTTTAATCCGATCTAATAAATATTTGTTACTGAGTTTGTATTATGGTATTGTTGTATTTCATCTGAAGTCAGTG